TAAAATGGTCAAAGCTTACCTAGATTTGAATGTTTAGTATATAATTTGATGATATGCTATATTTGATCTATAGAATAAATCAAATGTTAATTTTGCGAATTGCTTAGCCAATAGAAGGGCATGTATTAAAATGAATATGTAGTTAATCTGGAAGTCTGCAAAGGTATGAGTAAATATAGTTTCTATAAAAATATGTATGCCTAGTTACTAAGTTAGATAGTATTAAAGATTTGTTAATTGGTTAAGATTGAGTTTTGTTTTGTTGTTTTTTCTAGTTAGAGAAATGAATACAATATGTTTTTCATAATTGTTCATATGATTGTTCATTAATATTAAGAAGAATATTGATAATAACTTGGAAGGCAGTTTTGTATAATATGTCAAAGTTTTGAACTATTGATATAAGTGATTTTGGAATAAGTCCTTTGAGAATAAGATTAGGATAAAATGTATTAGATAGGATGTATAAGGAATTGAGAGCTAGGTGATGAAGAATTTTATGTATTAGGTTATTTTTTTGATAAGTGTCAAGATCAGGTAATTTGCTGAAGATAATTTGATTGGTAGATATTTGAATAATTTGGTTAAGCAAAAGTGTATTAGTGCAAGTATGCCAATAAGAGTGAGAGTTAGCTAGATTACAATAGAAACAATTAATATCTGGATATTGGTTTGAGTAAATAGTATGAAATAATTAATATATTGGTAACTCATTAAGAAGAATTTTGATTTTAAAGAATTTTAGTTGATTGAATCTGAAATTATGATTAAAATAAAGCCAAATAGATCTCCAGTCAATATCCTGATTGAAGTATGATCACTCACTATTACATTTTTGTGATGCCCATATAGTTAATATATAGGCTTTACATATTTGCTTAATAAAATATCTTGTAGGAAGTTCTACATAATATTGCTTCCATTGAAGAATATGATGACTATTTTTATTTATTTATTTATATAATATTATAGTAGAAATTTTAAAATACAATAAGAAATTTAATTACAAAAAAAAATCCCTAAAATAAAAATTACTAAACTATATTTGTGTTGCTAAAATAGACATTCAATGTAACATTACATTTTTTATTTACTAATGAGTGCTATAGATAATTGTTTCAAATTATTTTTTAGCTAGAATAAGTTGAAGAAAATCTTAGTTAAGAGTCAAGATATTATATAAAGCATGTGGTTAAAGTAAAGACTTGTAAAAGCTATTTGTTAATTGTGAAAATAATGTATATACAGTCAAACCAATGTTGTTAATTATTTGTTCTATTGACAAAAATTATATTCTATTCTAATTTCTATTGCTCTGTTCTATTGTTCTATTTATTTATATCTAATTATAATCTTGTTGGCAAATTTTTGTTCTATTGACAAAAATTTATTCTATTCTAAATTTTATTGCTTTATTCTATTGTTCTATTGTCCTATTCATTTATTGCTGTCAACACTGAGTCAGACCCCTCTATAGTCACACTCATTATAAGCACATCATATAAAAAACTCCTTATAAGCACATTTATAAGCATATCTTAGTAAAAATCTTTTTGTAAGCACATAAATACTTATCCCGAGGGGTGTGATTATAGAGAGGTTTGACTGTACATATAACCTTTATTTTATTCAATATTTGCGATATCTTATCATGAAAAATTTTTTAATATATCTAATTTTTATTTGACTCATGCGTTTCTAACAATATGCGAAATATATACAGTAAAATAGGTTCTCTCTTTTTGGAAATATTAAATGCCGTGATCTATTTATTTCCAATTATAAGAAAGTTGTGGCAGCTTAACGCCGATACTCTATGTGATAATAGAAGCAAGCAAATAGTCTTTGTCAATGCATGGTTATATGTGATTTCTCTAATGTCCATGGGCAATACATCGGAATTTGATATAGTTTCATGTTTTCTTTCAATTCATATTGTATAGCACTTTATGCTTTTGAAAATGTAGGTTTTTATCATAGGAAGGCATTCATATTTATCGTGATTTCTCATGACAATTAACCGATCAAGCTACATAATTTTAAAAAATCCATGTAAGAAAATTATAAACTATATATACTGTACACACAAAAGGATTTATTTATTATATAAATTTAGAGAAGATTTTAATTCTAATAACCCCAAATTTCTGGTTTTTTACAACTGAAGAGCTTGTACTTATAAATCTGACGTAATAAAATTCTTAGATGAAAACTTTTCATTACCACTTTATAATTTCGCACGGTTCAATAGACGGTGATATATTTTTTTTCAATTCTTTTGTACAGTGAATACAGTATTAAAATTCATTTAAAGTTAAGGATAACATTTGCGGCGATTTTTCATTAGTGAATCGTTACGTTCTTTAAAGTATATTACTGAAGAACTCTACCTATAGTATAGTATGAGGTACATACGAACATAGTTGAGTAAAATTACAATTGACTATCATACTCACGCGTGTAGTGAAAATAATCCTATATTGCACAAAATCTTCAAAATCCTCATTCTTATAACGATAACATTATTCACCGGACTTTCATAGAGAAAATCACTCTTATAATAAAATTAACGTCCGTCACGAGTGTAGTATACATTTTTACCAATCATTTCAAACGTATATAAATTACAAATCTGGTTCAATATAGTAATCATTCAGAGCCCATTACGAAAAACCTGTAAGAGGATTATTGAACTCCAAATGTTAAATTTAAAATCTTGATTTTATTATATAAAAGTGGATTCACCTAATGTGACGATCATAGCGGATTTCATTATTTCGCAACTCAGGTTTCACCCTGTCGTATTATACTGTTATGCCTTCCGCCTTGCGTCAATATATGACTTAGATCTAATAGTACAAATGCTTTTTTTTGATTGTTTTTTACAAAAATATATCTATGAACACGGGTTCTTCTAGCAGCAGTTAATTCAACAGTGACATTATATTTTTCTAATCCAAATTTGGGGTATCTGACTTCGAAATGTTCGAATGAACGTAAAGATTTGTAATTACGAAGTTGGATAGTATATAATGAGGTAGAGGTTAATGGAAATTGTGAAATTACACCATATTTTGGTTCACCTTTTTTTAATGAACCGAATGTTGGGTTCTAAGAATAAAATAAAGTATATTGCGGAAATTAAAATATAAGTATAAAAAAAAATCAATATGTCAAATTTATAACATAACTGATAATAAGTTGTCTTTTTACTCCTGTTCTACTAACATGTAAATCTATTTTTTAAATTTTTCATGTATTAGTATTGAAGTCATCGATTAATTCCATCAATTTTACACATAGGCTTACGGCTTATTCCAGTAATATTTCCATCAACAGTATATCTATTTTAACAAATGGCAAGGGTCCAGTGTAAAAATAATAATAAAACAATTCGTTTAAGTATTCAAGAGTTACTATCGTTATTAATTAGTACATTACCCTCCTTGATTATATTTTAGACTATCAGTATCGTACCCCACCTTTGCAACTTCATAAGGAAGACATGGATTGGGAAATACATGACCCTCTTTCTTTGTACAATTTTTATAAATATTATTAAGAAGATTTCAGCAATAATAATCAATAATAATATTATAATAACACGAGAATTGAATAATAAGGAGGTATGATACCATTTTGTGTACCAATCAATGGATCCACGAACTTAGTAACTTTGTCAATCTCTGCTCTTTCATTTATTTCATGATACGATAACATAGCAGCATTAACATTCAAGTTACATAATTTAATTAAAACAAATGCTACAAGTAAAATAAGTGAGCCATATTCTTAGAACATAAATCGATTTGAAAATTCATAGTCGAAAGATTTAAAAGAATAAATTAAGATATTTGTATATGCTATTTTGTTCTATTTATTAATATATATTTTTTTTGTTCATGAATTTATCTAACACAAAACCTTTATCATACTACTAAAGCTTCATTTATCATTTCGGTAAAGATATATAAACGATATAATAGGTTTATAGTCACTTTTTAATCCATCTTAATATGCGTCAATTAGTCTAAAAATTAGTATTAGCCAATCAATATTATTCAACCAAATCAAAATTGATCGTTCATTACCTAAAAATATTCAACCGATTTGAAAAACAGTGATACGTAATACTTTCTTTTACAATTAACATAATTACTTTATTTTTATTTCATATGTAAACTTAAAAAAATCTTTTTTTGTTGATTGTTATATTTACCATTATTTCATATCACTTAATATTGTAATAACAAAATCTGTGTAATGGTTTATCAAATAACATCTCTCTAAAAATTATGTTGACGAATATACATACCAAAATTTTTACTTCAGGTTACTAATAAACTGATTCAATCACCTCTTAGATGTCCTCAATAAACGAAACCTATTAAAAACTACATTAATCGAAAAATTATAATCACCCAATAAGAAATATGTTTACGTATCTGACCTAATAATTTACATACCAGCTTTCTATGTCCGATGAGTTTTACCGGACATATAAATGCCCAGTATCCATGTACTATTTATTTCTCGTGTAGGCAGAGGACCGGTTGATTGAGGTTTACTGGTTTATTCCCCATAGTAGAAAATAAGGTTATTCTTTGTTTGATATGACAACATGACGGCGTTGTTCGACTCAAATATCTTTAGTCAACACGACAAAAAAATAGAATTGCGAATCGAATTTTTTGCTTTAATAACAATCGCGTCAACCTATAACAATTCCAAGAAACAGCATCAACTAAAGTGAAGTATTCACAACGTTGAAAACAGAAAAGAAAAGGCACTAAAATAAAAGCTACAAAAAAATAAAAAATAAATTAATTAATATAATACAAAAAAAAACAATACAAACAAAAAAAATACGTATATATGTAGATTCTATTGTAACTAGGAAGGAGATTCGATTCGATTAACCAAATTATTCCCTATAAAAAAAAAAAAAAAAAAAAAAAACTAAATATTAGTATATTTATCAAATAAATAGTTTTTTTTATAATATAAATTACTGCACTCAGAATATTCATAACCAACTAGCTAGCATGATATTATTTTTAAACTGGAATCATATAACCACCTGTAAGACGACATTACTGTTATAAAGTATCCGCGAACAACAGACCAGCATAATATAACTAGCTGGGGCGTCATAAATATGTTCAAGCTAGGTAAGCTAAATGCTAATTAAGCCACGCTTATTAAGCATGTGTAGCTCTCCCACATCAACAATGTTACCTCTCTCTTAGTTTCTCCAATAAACTAAGATGTCCTCAATAACAAGCGTCCGCAGGCAACAGAGTACATTGAACATA